GTTCCATCACCACACTGAATACACTACTGCAAATCGTGAACCGTATTGTCGGTGTGTCGCATGTTTTGTTTTATCCCACAGGCTCTCTAGTACTGACGAGTTCTAAGGACACAGCTACAGATGGTGAACTGTTCACCATGACGTGCACCAGCAGCCGGGATGGGGGTCGTGTCTGGTCAAGGGATAAAGTGAATCATGTCTTACGAACACATCAAGGAACCTCAAACGTAACCCTGGTTAGCCCTGACCTAACCGGATACTTACTCGGACGTGTCACAGCCTCTGGCAGTTCTGATGGAACACAACATAATGTTACCCTCAAGATAAATTCACGCATCGACAACGGTACTGCGTGGATGTGTACAGATGAAATACATGGCGAAACCAGCAATACATTAACAATAGGTACGTGAGTAAGGATATTAAAGAACTTTTAATTATTTTAACTATGAATTTCACCGAATAATAACTTGAATAATACATATTATGTTCACGCAAGTATACGTATATGTAGACAATTTCAAGACTGGTTAAAGAAATAACGTTTGCTCTATGACAACGTGTAGAGTAATAAAGTATCTTTACAGTAAAATCACGAGGTCTCAAAACTGTACTTTATTATACTATATAAGATAACTTCCCCATAAATCGCAAATAACAATGAAGAACGACGCGGTTTTTTGTTTGTCACGATAAAACATTGTTCCATCATGATGTCATTTCTGAAGATTCGAACATAACATCGAACATTCGAACATTCGCAACATCGTAAATTGGAAGACCTTATTTTTAAGAGAGAAGTGTCTGGTAACTTGTTCCTATTAGATGTGGCTGGGCAATGCAGATAAACGCATTGTCCGAACTGATGGCTTGTTCCCTCTAATTAACCTGCACCTGAAGCAACATTTTTACTGCAAGCCATGAAATAGAGATGAGGTGAGGTGAAATTGGGTTCCACTTATATAGCTACGTGCATGCACGTGTGTGTGTGCGTGCGTGCGTACGTGCGTACGTGCGTGCGTGCGTACGTGCGTACGTGCGTGCGTGCGTGCGTGCGTACGTGCGTGCGTGCGTGTGTGTGTGTGACCAATGCCGATTTTATAGTGCCATCTCTATAACTTTTAACGTTTTTCTGTATGACGCGGCCGGGGATACAATCCCGGACCTTCCGCTCTCCCACTAGACCAAGGAGGCGGTCACCATGAAAAAGAATGCTTACCTTGTTGGTTGCACGATATGATGCCGTAACTAGCAATTGTCTTGACTTCATAGCTTGGGGTGTGACTTGGCGTCGCCGTTCGACGAACATGGCGGAGGAAGAGTGAGTGAGGAAATTTAACTTTAACGTCGCATCGGCATCATTTCAGCCATATAGCGACGAGAAAAAGTTGATATAATATATACAAGTGAGTCATGAATACAAAGTTATATTTAAAACCAATTTGCAAATGCAATTGCAAGTGCAAAGTTCACACAGTTTAGCAACATATGCTTGACGGTGAACCTTTCATCACAGGGATACACTTTGGAGGTTCATCCTCATTTGCTATACGCAGATATTCGTAGGTTGCCCGAGTGTGGCCGATTCGCCATCGTCGCAAGACGACGTCGCCATGTCTTGACTGGCAACCCAAGTAGCTGGGAATGACCGATTGTTGGTTTGAATTGATGAAGTTATCGATATCTAACCCTTGATGGTTGGTGTGAAATCACTGCACGGGATAAGAGTGGTGGTGGAGGAAGAACCATTGTACAGCGGAGTGTTCCGTTTGAGTGCAGTATGTTTCTGTACTTCCAACGCCGAGCCACAGGTGCACATGTGGTCATGAAACGTTTTGAAACCATGAGAATTGCCTATTCTGTGATAGACATAATGGGGAGACGCCTGCCTCGGACACACTTGTTGCAGCGTCATGACGTCAATCTACTATGCCTTAACGTATAATCGCAGTGTACCGCCGGCGTCTTTGATATTTCAGCAAATATTTACACATCTTTAGATAAGACCATGGGCTAAATATTGTACATTTTCGTCAAATCAGCGGCTGCATGCGCAGTTACATCGCCGACGGCCGTGGTTCTGACATCAGTGAGATCAACGCCGTCAACACATACAGGGAGTTCTGTGTCAAGTGAAGAACAACACACCGGTATTGTACACATAATATATATATATATATATATATATATATATATATATATATATATATATATATATATATATATAAAGCACATAACAGTAATAATTAAATAAGTGGAGTAAGATTGAACACAGTTTTAATAGGCTAGCACTTTCAACTCGTACCACTGGCCTGATGAGACTCGTACGTGCCACGTAAGAGTTGAAAGCGCTAGCCTATTAAAACTGTGTTCAATCTTACTCCACTTCTATATATATATATATATATATATATATATATATATTGCTTTGTCAGGTAACATGAGGTTTTAAGAAAATTCCCTGCATATATCTTGTACCACTTTTCAAGGTATTGTAGCATAACTTTTGAAACGTCCATTTTCAATTTTCAATGTAAATTTTCTATAATAGATGTACCCCACAGATAGAAACAAATCTTTTTACCAATGATTATCTCTACCATGATATCACACACACACACACAAAGAAATGCAATCTAGCTGTTGACATTGTAACTACAAGGGAAGATACCACTCATCATGATCATCGTCTTTGTGAAAAACTGCAAAGCTTCATTCATTCATTCAGAAAATGAAATGGGCAAAAGTCTGCTTTGTCGCCTACTACAGGTGTGTTCTTCACAACTACGTTATCCGGAACAACACCATCACCATCTTCTTCGCCCACAGCTGGTGAGAAATGACTGCTTTTAACTACAGTAAACTACGTTCATAACGAACACGATTATACCGAACTGACGGATATAACGATCTGTTCCCGTCCATTTGCTGTATATATCTTGTAAATATGCTTATAACGAACTACGGTTATAACGAACTAGATTGGTGCCCCTTTTTAGTTCGTTATAACCGTAGTTTAATGTATTTTAATTAAACTCGAGCGGTTGCAATATAAAAAAATGTGAAAAAACATTTTTTTTAAAAGATCTGAGAAATACAAGAAGGTTTATGTGACCATTAGTCCACAAACATTAATTTTATAAAAAAAGGTCTAACACAGTGATTATGTAACTTCCAGTGATCGTCGCAGTAGTTGCAACTGCTGCGGTCATCATCGTCATTGTCGTTGTCATTCTGTGTGTTAGGAGAAACAGAAGAATTCAAGCAAGAAAAGGTATTCCGATTTCCTTGATTACACAATACCCAATGCTCATCTTGTCCATGGTTATTTTGTTAAGAACGGCATCAAATAAATATGTGATGTCGGCAGTACATCTTCGGTTGGTTGTTGGTTGGTTTGTTGTTTAACGCCGCACTCAGCAATATTGCAGCTATATGACGGCGGTCTGTAAATAATCGAGTCTGGACCATACAATCCAGTGAGTGATATCATGAGCATGGATCCACGCAATTGGGATCGATGACCGTGCATCAACCAAGTCAGCGAGCCTGACCACCCGATCCCGTTAGTCGCTTTTCACAGCAAGCATGGGTAGTACATCTTCGGATTGATAATGAACTGTTTTATGTGTTAAGTTGCTGTATGGCTGAAGCAATCAGGGAGAGACGTCATATTTTAACCCCACTCATGTACCACAGTTTTTATTAAGGTTTTACATCATGAAAAGCAATTTGCCCTCACAAGAAAGGAAAGATGAAATGAACAAACCATTACTGAGTCTGTTTTGCCTCATGTCAACAAAACCTTAACGTAACGTGATAGAATTAATAGGAAACTGCGGGAAATCACCGCTTCCTTCTTCCTCATAGACATTGTTTACTTGTTGGTGATTTCGTTATGAATGGAAAACAGCTGGCTCATGGTAAATAAGCTCTTTTCATTGATAGTGAATTGCTTCCTTCAAGTCCGGGACAAAACTCGTACAACAATTATCTCCCCAAGCACAAACGGTAACTGTAAGTAGTACAGCTAAAGGCGTTCGTCATTTGGGTGCAATGTAATAGAATCACAGCTCGATAATACATTTCATCCAAAACACATTCAGCAGTTCCGTACATTTTGATCTACACAGGTGAGGTGAGGTGAAATTGGGTTTAACGTCGCGTCCAACATTATTGCACTTATGTTGTTTGTTTGCTGTTTAACGCCGCACTCAGCCATATTCCAGCTATATGACGGCGGTCTGTAAATAATCGAGTCTGGACCAGACAATCCAGTGATTGACACCATGAGCATCGATCCACGCTATTGGGATACGATGACATGCATCAACCAAGTCAGCTAGCCTGACCACCCGATCCTGTCAGTCGCCTGTTACGACAAGCATAGTCGCCTTATATAGCGACTTACATGTAAATGTGTGTGTTTGTGTGTGTGGCTGCTTGTACTAGTCCGGACTGATACCGATTTATAGTGCTAGCTCACTGAGATACCATGCCGCAGTTAAAAATGAATACCCCACTCATACTGACTCCGAGCCGACAAGTGTTTGTTCTGGCCCCTTAATGCCGAGCCAGACAAGGTAACAACAAGTACCATCTTTTAACGTCTTTTGGTAAGACGAGGCTGGAGATTTAGATTTACATGTTCCATGGGTTTGAGCATGAAGCGACAAGTCTGCTTTGCGAGAACAATTTACCATACACGGGCATTCAGTGAGCTCGAAAATTTAGCCGCATTCTTAGATAGACATAGGACTCGAGACAGTATCCGCGCACATCCACACACCCAAATATTTGCTCCAGTAACTCCTGTATCCATATAAAGCGTTGTTTGGTCCTCTTTCTACTTTATCATGTCGTGTTTCCGTACGTTAATTAATCCTTTACGACGCTTCAGCGTGTTTGTGGCTCTATAAAGAAGCCTCTGTTGCAGGACTTGTCGCTGACTGTATTCATACTGTGGTCATGTTTCACTACATCACGGTTTGTGCTTTCAGTCACAAAGAGAGCACATGTGGCAACAGTGGGAAACGTGGACGAGGCCGACAGGTCATCAGGGTAAGTGCAACACTTTGAGAGATCGTATGTTTCATCCTGGTTAGATAACATCAGTGTAATCACAATCTAATGACTGAAATAATCGTGCCTAGACTACCATTTTTTTTGTTAAACGCCGCACTCAGCAATATTCAAGCTATATGACGGTGGGCTAGAGTAAATAATCAAGTCGGGACCAGACAATCCAGTGATTGACATCATGAGCATCGATTCACGCAATTCGGTAACGATGACATGCATCAACCAAGTCACCGAGTCTGGCCATCAGATCCCGTTAGTCGCCTCCTACCACAAGCATAGTCGCATTTAACAGCAGGCATGGGTTGCTGAAGACCTATTCTAACTCTTCGTAGACTTCAAGTGATCAGGCCAATATGTTGATAAAATAGTTTAAATATTCTGGCAAAAATTGGTAATTTATGTTATTGTCATGTTGTATTCATCTAGTAATCGCTTCTGCAAAACATAATTACTATAAAAAGGCACGTTTCAAAGGACGTTTACCTTGCTGTGGCAATATCACAGCTATATAGCAATATACTTGAAGAAGTTACTCGGCATTACCGGAAACACATGATATACGAAATAAACTCAATCGCAAACACACCATTATCTAATAAAATACACTTGGCACGTGTACAGTGTTTGTGGGGTGGTTTCACATAGTTTACTGTTTAGGCACTTTCAAAGTAATTTGAATATTTGAGTTGCATGCTGTCATCGCTGCATATCATTAACATTTCAGGGATGTGGAGTCCCATGAGATGTCGCACGACGAGAGGGAAACAACTGGTAAGGAAACTCTGATATTCGTTTTTCGTTAAGTTTAATTAACATATCTCTTGACTTGCTCCGATTTTTGGAACTCCTAGTGTAGTCAGGTTTGGTTTGTTATGGCTTGTTTATTTGTTTGTTTGTTTGTTTTATGCAGCCATACAGCTGAAATAGTGCTGTGTGCGGTGTTAAACAACAAACAAACAAATCGACCTTGAGATTAGCTTACATCAAAGACACCAAAACGCAATTACGTAAATGATCCCCGCATGTCAACATTTTGTTAATATAACACGATACGTATTTTTCCTTGTCCTCTGTGAGTGAGTTAGGTTTAACGCCGCTTTAACATTATTCCAGTTATATCACGGCGTGTCAGCTTAATGTTGGTGGAAAGCCCGTAGTGATGCAGGTCTCAGACTTTTACCACTTGGGTGAAACCCACGAGCACGGGTATGGTGCTTACAAACCTTGAAACATAATCGGGGCGAACCGGGATTCGAACCCACAATCATAGGTTTCTAGCGTGCGCAAGGGACGCAACTCTGCACAGCGAATCGCGGCGCCTTAGACTCCTGTATCCATATAAAGCGTTGTCTGGTCCTCTTTTTACTACATCATGTCGTGTTTCCGTATGTTAATTAATCCTTTACGACGCTTCAGCGTGTTTGTGGCTCTATAGAGAAGCCTTCGTTGCAGGACTTGGCGCTGACTGTATTCTTACTGTGGTCATGTTTCACTACATCACGACTTGTGCTTTCAGTCACCAAGAGGGCAAATGTGGCAACAGTGGGAAACGTGGACGAGGCCGACAGGTCATCAGGGTAAGTGTAACACTTTGAGAGATCGTATGTTTGATCCTGGTTAGATAACATCAGTGTAATCACAATCTAATGACTGAAATAATCGTGCCTAGACTACCATTTTTGTTTTTTGTTGTTTAACGCCGCACTCAGCAATAGTCAAGCTATATGACGTCGGGCTAGAGTTAATAATCAAGTCGGGACCAGACAATCCAGTGATTAATACCATGAGCATCGATCCACGCAATTCGGTTACGATGACATGCATCAACCAAGTCACCGAGTCTGGCCATCAGATCCCGTTAGTCACCTCTTACCACAAGCATAGTCGCCTTTCACAGCAAGCATGGTTCTAACTCTTCGCGGGCGTAGACTATAAATGATCAGGCCAATATGTTGATAAAATAGTTTAAATATTCTGGCAAAAATTGGTAATTTATGTTATTATCATGTTGTATTAATCTAGTAATAGCTTCTACAAAACATAATTATTATAAAAGTGCACGTTTCAAAGGACGTCTACCTTGCTTGTGGCAATTGCGCCATGCATGCACAACTACATAGCAATATACTTGAAGAAGTTACTCGGCATTACCGGAAACACATGATATACGAAATAAACTCAATCGCAAACGTTTCTTATGTATTTTCATTAAACACAATTAGCTAATAAAATACACTTGCTACGTGTACACTGCTTGTGAGAAGGTTTCACATAGTTTACTGTTTAGGCACTTTCAAAGTAATTTAAATATTTGAGTTGCATGCTGTCATCGCTGCATATCACTAACATTTCAGGGATGTGGAGTCTCATGAGATGTCGCACGACGAGAGGGAAACAACTGGTAAGGAAACTCTGATATTCTTTTTTCGTTAAGATTAACATATCTCTTGACTTGCTTCTATTGTTGGCACTCCTTGTGTAGTCTGTCATGCAGCGACTAACAGGATCGGGTGGTCAGACTCGCTGACTTGGTTGATGCATGTCCTCGTATCCCAATTACGTGGATCGATGCTTGTCTGGTCCAGACTCGATCCTTTGTGCAGACCGTAGTCATACAACTGGAATATTTCTGAATATTACGACAAGTATGGTCGTTTTTACGACAAACATGTGTTGCTGAAGACGTATCCTACCCCGGATCTCCACGGGCAGATACATCGCTTAATACGAGGGGAACGGTAATTTATTGAAAGGTCATGAGAAAATGTCACTTGCATTTCGGTTTGATTGTTGTTTTACGCCGCACTCAACAATATTCCAGCTGTATGACGGCGGTCTGTAAATAATCGAATCTGGACAAGACAATCCAGTGATTTATATCATGAACTTGTATTTGGGAGGGGCCTTGAATAAATGTAACATAAAATGGGAGGGGGGAGGATCTAGTGAAAAGACCAATCCCACCCCACTTGGTAAATGATCTTTCCCTCGCGTGTCAAGGACGTAGCCAACCTCCCCTATGAAATATTGTAGTGATCCAACAGCCGACGGTACCTGTAAGCTGGACACGAAGATTAAGTTGCACGAAGGTTGTCCCCTTGCCCTGAATCACCAAGCTGTTTTCCTGGTGTTTTAGAAACAGCTCGTCAGTACGACGGCGCGGTTGATCTCAGTGTTAACAAGAGTTTAGTTAATGACTCAAAACTAAACGTCTGTTAATTATTATTTAGTTGCACCAGATTTGATTGTCTATATGTTATTGTGAAGCGCCGATTATATGTTTCAAATTGTATTTTTTCCTTGGAACAGACACATACGCATCAGTCAACAAACCAAAGAAGACAACCTTTATTGCAGATAATGGAGACATCTACGCCCTGCCTAACAAGCCGAAGAAATAGACAACGGAGAAAATATGATATTTCAGTATGAAGATCCGGTTCAGAATAGGTTTTCAGCAACCCATGCTTGCCGTAACAGGCGACTATGCTTGTCGTAAGAGGCGACTAACGGGATCGGTTGATCAGGCTCGCTGCTTTGGTTGATGTCTGTCATGGTATCCCAATTACGTAGATCGAAACCCGTGAAGATCCGGGGTAGAATATATCTTCTGGTCCAGACTCGATTATTTACAAACCACCGTCGTAAAGTTCGAAAAGGTCCGAGTGCGGTGTTAAACAACAAACAAAGACCCTCCGATCGGGGAACATTTCACCCAAAGTGTCCAGACAAGGCCTTGATAATTAAATGTGTATGTTACCAGCTTTAATTAACATGAAGAACTTAAATCCGGTACTATGGAAAAATGAAGGCTCAATAGGTTATATTTAGATACTGCCAAAAAGGTATCTAAAACCCAAGGGAATTAAACATTTAACAGACACGTGAAGATTCCGGGTTAGAATAGGTCTTCAGCAACCCATGCTTGCCGTAAAAGGTGACTATGCTTGTCGTAAAAGGCGACTAACGGGATCGGGTGGTCAGGCTCGCTGACTTGGTTGATGCATGTCATCGATCCCAATTGCGTGGATCGATGCTCATGATATCAATCACTGGATTGTCGGGTCCAGACTCGATTATTTACAGACCGCCGTCATATAGCTGGAATATTGCTGAGTGCGGCGTTAACCAACAAACCAACCAACCTGATCCAATTACCCAAAGTTGAGATATTGTGTTCTTGTTGTTTGATCCACCTTTCTGCCGATAATGCGCAGAATGTTCTACCAGGGGATCTTATTAATTTTGTTTGTTTGTTTGTTGTTTAACGCAACATTAAGCAATATCCCATCTATATGACGACTGTCTGTAAATAATCGAGTCGGGACCAGACAATTCACTGATTTACATCATGAGAATCGAACCACGTAATGGTATACGATGTCATGTAATATATGACATCGTATACTATTACGTGCTTCGATTCTCAATGATCATGTAGAAACAAAGTTAGCGAGCCGGACTAACCAATCTCGTTAGTCGCCCCTTACGACAAGCATTGATTCAATCTGTGTGTTAAAATGAAACCTCTCAATTAATATGTTATGCATCCTGTGATAGATGATGATGCTATCCATATATTGATAGATTGAATAATTGAGTTTCCAGCGCATGTTTACTTGGAATGCCATGTTAGATCCAATCCAGGGGCTATAACTCTCGCTGGCTTATAAGATATAGCACCTTTCACAAGCACTGATATAGAACACTTATGAACCTTAAACGAACAAGAGTGTTTGTTAACATTGCACATTACACATTCTACAACAGCTTTCACAGTAATGAGAAGTCCATTTAGTGTTTGATGGCTTAGCATCATCTTTTTGCGTTGCCCTCTTGTGCATGTTCCTGTCCTTCTTCAGCAACCAATACTTGCCGCAAAAGGTGACTATGCTTGCCGTAAGAGTCGACTAACGGAATCCGGGTGGTCAGGCTCGCTGACTTGGTTGATGCATGTCATCGTATCCCATTTGGGTGGACCCGTGAAGATCCGGGGTAGAATTGGTCTTCAGCAAACCATGCTTGCCGTAAAAGGCGACTATGCTTACCCCTACTGCGTGGATTGATGCTCTTGTTAAAAGTCATCAGTCAGATTTTGAAGTGTCGACTGGCGTCCTAAATGTGTCTAAAAATGCGTTTCGCCTCCTCATGTACCCAATGAATTTCAGTTTCTGCAACATGGTCCCCCAAATATTCTTCCTGAGCTAGGTTCACTTTCTTCTTTTCAAATGATGATAAATGCATTTGGGACAGGGGGTAGATATTGCATGGTGTCTCACGTTATCCTCACTTATAAACCTATTCATTGGCATCGCTATAAAGTAAGAGACTTCTTTCTATAGGCATTTAAACCTATTGTGAGGTTTTACTTTCCAGTCGGGTTAAATCTCATAACTGGGACGTTGTAATGTCCCTGGGATTTTAAATAATATCCCTGGGATTTTAAAGGATATTCAAGTCATATTTGCTATATAATGTGTTATAATATCCCAGGGATTTTATATGATGTCCTGGGTATTTTATTAATATAACTTCCGTTCAGATTGTAACATGTAATGAAATGTAAATTCAAATGTTTTCTTTATATTCCCGAGGATCGAACTCGCAACCTTCATATCTGTAGCCCAGTGAGTGTACCACGAGGCTGCAGAGGTGTTGATAAGCCTCACTGGTTTTTAGAATGTCGTTTTCAAGATCCGTATGCCAGCAACAGCTATTTTACGCGCGTTTCCTAAGCTTCATGGAAAGTATGTTCGAAACATAAAAATGTTGATAAATGTTGTTTTAAGTTTCTTTTTTCGGTTTTTAAGTATGGAAAAACACTTTCCCTTGGTTTTGGTAGAGAGAGCATGACATAAGCCCTTGACATGCATTTTCAGCTTTTCCAAAGATGTCGTGCCAAGGTATGTGCTCCAGAATTACACTTCTTCTTTTTTTTAAGTGAGTTCGGGCTGAAAACCAGCCTGTCCTACCATCGGTTTCCGAAGCTAGATTAAAGGCCGAAGTTGTTTATTAAGTACTGACTTGTTACTATCAGTGTTGCTAACTTGTGTGACTATTTGCCTTTTATACTTAACTTCAGTTTGGTTTACCTTTGACGATGTGCTTTAATGCAATTAAATATCTTCATTTTCGACTTCTCATATGTGTATACTCATGTCTGCTTGCTATTCATACGCTTTTAACAATTACGAATCGGCTTTTCGAGGGGTGAGATGTTACTATAGCCCAGTGACAATAGTGATGATCAAAACCAGTGAAATGTTAAAAGGCCCGTATAGATCCGGGGCAGAATAGGTCTTCAACCCATGCTTGCCGTAAAAGGCGACTATGCTTGTCGTAAAAGGCGACTAACAGGATCGGGTGGTCAAGCTCGGTGACTTGGTTGATGCATGTCATCGTATCCCGATTGCGCGGGTCGATGCTCATGATGTCAATCGCTAGAATGTCTGGTCCAGATCCGATTATTTACAGACCGCCGTCAATAGCTGTATTATTGCTGAGTGCGACGTTAAACAACAAACAAACAAGCAAACGTTCGAGCATGCAGGTGGGGAGCATGCGATCTTGGATCTCACCAATACGTTCAACACTTTTCTTATCTAAGTTTCTACATCCAGACGTTATTAGGGACACCAAACTCCTCTGGCGAAGGGAGACTGATCTTGCGAGCAGACAATAGATTGGCTAAAAAGTCGATCACTGACTTTTTTAACAACATGGGATGCTTCTCGCAAGAGACGACTAACGGGATCGGGTGGTCGGGCTCGCTGACTTGGGTGATGCATGTCATCGTATCCCAATTGCATGGATCGATCTCATGACATCAATCACTGGATTGTCTGGTCCAGACTCGATTATTTACATACCGCCGTCATATAGCTGGAATATTACTCAGTGCGGCGTTGAACAATAAACAAACAAACAAACAAACTACTTGGGCTGCTATTACTGTCCGACTGACATTGTGAAGTAATACACTAATGCACACATTCTTGTAAAACATGAAATATTTAACGTCACATCGGCAGTATCCAAGCTGTGTTGAAATGTTTAACAGTCGTTTGTAGAAGTCGATAATACTTTTTGTTTCGATTATAGAATTTAAAAATGGCTTTGTATGATAAAGAGGTTATCACGCGTGTGTTGTGGGATCGTACAGATCATATATTAGGAATGGACACTGTATGAATTACCAAGCTAAGGCTCGCTAGATACAATGTTTATTCCTTAAGAGGACATTTAACATCCCACTCACGTGATAACATCTAATCTAACTAAAGACACAATAAGCTACGGTACATATCGCAAAACAACATTGGGAGTAGACATGCACCGATCTTCAAATATCCGAATGACTTAAAATCTCAGAGGAAAATAACTAGACTGTATATTGATTGTACATTACTAAAGTATCTGATTAAACTGTGTAACAGTCGTATTATTTAAGCAGAAGGCGGGTACGGATCATCGCTTTAGCTATTACAAGCCTGAAGTTAATATTCGTCGATTGATGTGCTTTGCTCGAGCATATGTGAGAGTAACTATGAGAAAATTGAATAAAAAAACCCCTCTGTAAATGGGTTCCGTGGGAATCGATATTCCAGAAGTGGAACAATATATATCTGGGAAAGATATACCATGATGAGCAAGACGTGTATCCCAACATCCCCCAACTTGACCCCACCCCACACCCAACAATACAGCATAAAAGTTCAAATAGTTCCTTATTGAAATGTTCGGGGATATTAATTTCAAAGGAAACTGAATATCAGTCTCAAAATAGATGAAAAGCAAAAGGTCGCTTCATTGCTTCAGTGTGGTTTATTTTCCTCCGGATCTTGACCGCTTCCGTGGTCTCGTTGTTAGAGCGGAAGGTCCGGTGTTAGATCCCCGGCCGCATCTTACCAAAGGACGTTAAAAGATTGTACTTGTTTTTACCATGTCTGGCGCTCGGCATTAAGGGGCTAAAACAAGGGCTGGTCGGTTCGGAGTATACTGTGTCTGAGTGGGGTATTCATGAAGAGCTGCGGCATGCTATCTTAGTGAGCAAGCACTATAAATCGGCATCAGTCCGGACTAGTACAAGCACGCACGCACACACACACACACACACACACACACACACACACACACACACACACACATCCCTCATTTGCATATAGGGGCGGTCGGGTAGCCTAGTGGTTAAAGTGTTCGCTCGTCACGCCGAAGACCCGAGTTCGATTCCCGACATGGGTACAATGTGTGAAGCCCATTTCTGGTGTCCCCCGCCGTGATATTGCTGGAATATTGCTAAAACCGGCGTAAAACCATACTCACTCACTCACTCATTTGCATATAATAGCAAATGTATATTAAAACATATTTACTTGGTCACTGAATACATGAGTACATTGGCTTCTCTGGGCTGGGAGGGTATATCATGCTTGTTTGGTTTACTCTGTACTGGTTACAATTCCAGCTGTATGGCCGTAGCCTATAACTAACCAATGCATGTCGTAAGAGGCGACTGAATAGGTCTGGTGGTCAGGTTGATTGTGCATCAGTCTACCCTTAAGGCGTGGGCGACGCTCGTAGTACAAAATTAATACAAAACTGGTTGTCAGACAACAAGCAAACACAGTCAACCATATCAAAAACATACAGAGTGAAAACACAAGCTATGAATTTAAAGCCACTATGGTCTAAAATCCGCATATGTCGAACTGCGCATAACTCGAATTACTCTGTTCGATGGTCCCAAGTATACTACTTAAAATAAGTTATGGACGCTCACATTTGGTAGGCTGTATATAGCAATGCCCTACATGAACAACTCTGAATGAATGGTCTTTAATTTTGAATAATATACTTTGCATGAACAGCGTTTCACCGCGGTTCAACATGAAGTGCATATTATAAAGCACAAACGTAATTATTTGCGGTGACGCCTGTAAATGTTTGTATGAGGAAGGTTTGTTCTGCATGCATTGTGAGACTGACGACGAACCGAGCTATGGAGAGCAAAAGGCCACTTATTGCGCGTTTCTACCCGCCCTTCCTGGTTTCCCATGCATGAAGTTGTCAGTATTTTGTGGGTCATGTATAGTAATGATAGCTTACTGTCGACGTGTTTCAAATGTTGCAGTGACATGCTATGTGGGCATGGGCATTTGAGTATATTTGTATATGATACAATTCGATATAAACGGATGTTGTGAGAACATGGGCCCAGGACTGTGTGTTGGTATTTTGTTATGGATCAGTGGAATTCGATATGTGTATGGTAAGTTGTACTGGCTCAAACTGAAGAGCGGACTTCACATTAATACACTCTAGTTTCGCTGCAACAATTTGTAGAGCGCAGTTCACAGTTCACATCAACACGCAACGGTCACCTGGCTCAGTTTGCAGTGTGGTTTTTAGCTGGCTCAGTTCGCAGAGTAGTGTTCACATTACTGCCCTCTCTATTTATCTGGCTTCGTTCGCAGAACGGAGTTCACATTAACATTACACTCACTTGCCTTAGTTCACAGTGCGCAGTTCACATTTACACTAAACTCACCTGCCTCAGTTCACAGAGCGGAGCTCACAATTACACTACACTCACCTGCCTTAGTTCACAGTGCGCAGGTCACATTTACACTACACTCACCTGCCTTAGTTCACAGTGCGCAGTTCACATTTACACTACACTCACCTGCCTTAGTTCACAGTGCGGAGCTCACATTTACACTACACTCACCTGCCTTTGTTCACAGTGCGGAGTTCACATTTACACTACACTCACCTGCCTTAGTTCACAGTGCGGAGCTCACATTTACACTACACTCACCTGCCTTTGTTCACAGTGCGGAGTTCACATTTACACTACACTCACCTGCCTTAGTTCACAGTGCGGACCTCACATTAACACTACACTCACCTGCCTTAGTTCAAAGTGCTGAGTTTACATTAACACTACACTCACCTGCCTTAATTCACAGTGCGGTGTTCACATTAACACTACACTAACCTGCCTTAGTTCACAGTGCGATGTTCACATTAACACTACACTCACCTGCCTTTGTTCACAGTGCGGAGTTCACATTAACACTACACTCACCTGCCTTAGTTCACAGTGCGGAGTTTACATTAACATTACACTCACCTGCCTTAATTCACAGTGCGGAGTTCACATTAACACTTTACTCACCTGCATTTGTTCACAGTGCGGAGTTCACATTAGCACTACACTCACCTGGCTCAGTGCGGAGTTCACATTAACACTATGCTCATGGGGCTAAGTTCGGAGTTCACATTAACACTACGATCACCTAACTGAGTTGACAAAGCGATGTTCACATTAACACATTACACTCCTCTAGCTCAGCGCGAAATTCACACTTGTGCACTCTAAGCTCACATGGCTCAGTTCACAGAGCGGTGTTCACATTAACACACTACGATCACCTAGCTCAGTGTGGAGTTCACATTAGTATACTACGCTCACCTTGTTCAGTGCGGAGTTCACATTAACACACGACGCTCACCTTGTTCAGTTCACAGAGCCAAATTCACATTAACACACTACACTCACCTTGTTCAGTTCACAGAGCCAAGTTCACATTAACACACGAAGCTCACCTTGTTCAGTTCACAGAGCCGAGTTCACATTAACACGCTAAGCTAACCTTGTTCAGTTCACAGAGCCGAGTTCACATTAACACACTAAGCTCACCTTATTCAGTTCACAGAGCCGAGTTCACATAAACACACTACGCTCACCTTGTTCAGTTCACAGAGCGGAGTTCACATTAACACACTAAGCTCACCTTGTTCAGTGCCGAGTTCACATTAACAGACACGCTCACCTTGTTCAGTTCACAGAGCGGAGTTCACATTAACACACTAAGCTCACCTTGTTCAGTTCACAGAGCGGAGTTCACATTAACACACCATGCTCACCTTGTTCAGTGCCGAGTTCACATTAACACCTAAAGCTCACCTTGTCATGTGCCGAGTTCACATTAACACACTACTGTCACCTGGCTCAGTTCACAGGCCCGAGTTCACATTAACACACTAAGCTCACCTTGTTCAGTTCACAGAGTGGAGTTCACATCAACACACTACGCTCACCTTGTTCAGTGCCGAGTTCACATTTACACACTTAGCTCACCTTGTTCAGTGCCGAGTTCACATTAACACACTAAGCTCACCTTGTTCAGTTCACAGAGCGGAGTTCACATTAACACACTAAGCTCACCTTGTCAAGTGCCGAGTTCACATTAACACACTACTGTCACCTGGCTCAGTTCACAGAGCGGAGTTCACATTAACACACTAGTAAGCTCACCTTGTTCAGTGCGGAGTTCATATTGACACACTAATTAAGCTCACCTTGTTCAGTGCGATGTTCACATTGACAGACTCTGGCTTCTCTGCCTTTGTTTGCAAAGCGTTGTTACTTGGAAGAATTGGCATCTTTTCCTGAGACATATGACCCATATCCTTTGGTAAACCTTCTTTGTATAAAAGATCTTATTCTTACAGCTCAATAGTTCAAAAGACATCGCGATACGTCACACGTTGGTTATGTCAAACAAGAAAAGCGCTTGATCCGATGCAAACACGAAATTCAGTAGCTGACTGTTCGTGAAAGACTTACTCGTCATTATGTGTCGTAATTCATTGCAATAGGACGGCGGAACATCATTTCACGCTTCGGCAGAGTCGTGTCACCTGTCATGAGAACTTGCGCAATTAATTGTGTCGATGTTCCAAGATGTGTCGCTGCTCGATATTGTACAGCTGTACTGGCTTGGCTCGGTTAATAATGGAGGTGTATAGGTGTAGAATTTATACAACTTGCACCGAATTAAATACTCCGCAGGGAGCTCAGGGTGTCACATAAGTGCAAGTTGATTCATGGGCTCGGGTAATATGGGTGTAGCGCCGTGAGCGATTGGGTGCAACATGAATAAGCATTTATATTCAAGCATTATCATTATTTTACCCGCCGAATGTTATACCAGTTACCCAGTTTATGGGTAATTAGATTATGTCCAATTTCCCTATGTGGATGTAGACTGTTGAGTACCAGATGCCACAGAAATCCCAAGACGATTAGAACATAATATATGTGAAGATATAGTTTGCCTGATTGTGTCTGCTAGTTCAGATGCTTGATATTTTATGTTCTTTGACTTTGGTCATATTGGACTTAATATTTTCAGAGTGCACGTTACCTTGGTTTTTTTAACATGTCTTAAAAACGATACTCCTTTAAGCCTACGACTTGAACTGCTTCCAAACCTCGGAATTATCTCTATATTTAATATGAGCAATTTATCTTATCTTGGGTTCATGTCAAAATTGAACTGTTCGCCCCGATTATGTTTCGAGGTCTGCCAGCACCATACTCGTGTTCGTGGGTTCCACCAAAGTGGTAAACGTCTAAGACCTGCATCACTTCGGGTTTTCCTCCTTCAAAGTGGCGTAAAACTCACTCATGCACTAACACAATAGTTAACGACAGTTCAAAAGCTCAAATGATCTTTCGACTTTACTCCTAGCTATGATGTGTGTGTTGGTGTGTGTGTGACATTTTCATGTTTAACGCCATGTTCAGCAGGGGGTCACGGGTGGCCCAGTCGTCTACGGCGCCGCGATTCGCTGTGCAGAGTTGCGTCCCTTTGGCACGCCAGAAACCTATGATTGTTGTTCGAATCCCGGTTCGCCAAGATTATGTTTCTAGGTTTTTCAGCTCCATTACGTGATATAAGCAATTTATTTTATCTTGGGTTCATGTCAAAAGTAACCCCTCGCCTTAATTGAACTGTTCGCCCCGAAAATGTTTCGAGGTCTGTCAACACCATACTCGTCGTGAGTTTCACCAAAGTGGCAAACGTCCGAGACCTGCTTCACTTCGGGCTTTCCCCCTACATTAAGCTGACACGTCGCGATATAACTGGAATAATGTTAAAAGCGGCGTTTAACCAAACTCACTCACTCACTCACCCATACTCAGCAATATTCCAGTTATGTATACTCAAAACCATGAAGCATAAGAAGCATAGTATCACATTTAATCACATTAAAACAATTACCAAACATTGATTAATTCCAGGCTTCATTCAGATCGGAAGCTTCCAAGCACAAACAACAGAAGGGGGTGAGTTCACATTTATGTGCAGTGTCAGCCAAGCCAGCTTTGTTCGCTGGTACAGGGAAGCTAAACTGGTACTAGGCACAAGGCCAGATGAAAACAACTGTTTCGCAGATTTGCCGAAAACGTATGGTGCTTCCAACAATGACTTTGAAGCGTATATCTCCGGACGGTACGACGCCGACTGTAACAGCACCCATCATCGTCTGACTCTCAGGAACATCTCCTCCGAAGACGCAGATACTGTGTGGTGGTGCGAGGACTATGCGGACAGTGCCAGTAGCAATGTCACCATCGGTATGTATTTACGAATCCTAAAGGACGAGGTAGGACAATGGTCATTTTTTTTTTTTTAGTGTCAATAGTTACGGAAAGCTTTGAAATATTAATATGAAACACATCAGTAATGTGTAAATGGTTGAGAACTCGATTTATTTCTTTGCTACACTTACTTAGACTTATGACATGGCCGACAACACCAACACGGATACAAGAGTTCGAAAAGACTTCTTCAAGAGATACTCTTACCATGCGCAAATCAGATGAACTTTTTACCATATGCTTGTTGTGCCTTTAGCTACATGCCTTAAGACAATCAGCGTGGGTCCAATGTTTGCTCATGATCCTTTATTAAAACAACCCTTCCTACAACCTCGAAATCGACCCGTGAAGATCCGGCGTTGAATAGGTCCTCAGCAACCCATGCTTGCTGTAAAAGGGTGCTTTGCTTGTCGTAACGGGATCGGGTGGTCAGACTTGGTTGATGCATGTCATCATATACCAATTGCGTAAATCGATGCTCATGATATCAATTACTGGCTTCTCTGGTCTAGACTCGATTATTTACAGACCGCCGTGATATAGCTGGAATATTGCTGAGTGCGGCGTTAAGCAACAAACAAACAACCTTGAAATCAAGACTTTGACATCTGCATCTACCGTACATTGTCTTTTTTTCATAACTGAAAATATACATTATTCGCATTGTCACAAACGTTGTTTCATGTATTCGTACGGGAAATAATGTCAAACGCAAACGATAAATGATAACTATGAAATCTGTTACCAAACAGATTTATGAATCCTGTAACTGTCACCATTAAACATCTCGGCTTGAAAAAAAACATAGTAGAAAAGGCCTATTGTATGAAGCAACTATACTTTTATTCAGCCATACAGTGGGCAAGGGTTGTCTTGCCATCTAAGTCGCCACGTTGTCTGGCCACAAACCTACATTTGCCCAAAATATGTTTGTGTTTGTCAGGGCAATGCTGATGGATTTCATCAACGAGATAAACATATTTGATCTGCATCACTTTGTTTTTCCTTCCACTTCAAACTGATGGCGTGCCATAAAACTATGATGGTGGTTTCGAAGATCATATTTGCCCTGATTCCAATAGAAGTTGAAGGACCAGTGCAAAGTCCACGTACATAAATAAGATACAATTTAAAATGCCTGTTGGTTAGCCTTACATCGCATATTGAAAATCTAACGTATATTTCACAGATCTGAAGATAGAAACAGGGAGTACGCCATTAGTAATGACTGAGTCTACAGCAGCAACGTTGTCTGTGTCTGTGAGTTCTACTACACCAACAGCACGGACATCGTCTACTCCAACAACGCCAAGTGTGTATCCAACCACGGCAACGAAACCAGATGGTACATTTTCTGTAGTCACATACACTATTGATTATCGAAGTGCAAAGTTAAATTGTTATTTTACTTGCTTGCAAATAGTTAGTTCTGTGCCACAAACACTTAACGAATATAACACTATTAAGATGTTTCCAACCAAAATTGAATATGTGAGACAGTAAATACATACAGTGCCGACAGTAAATACATACAGTGCCGACAGTAAATACATACAGTGCCGACAGTAAATACGTACAGTGAGACAGTAAATACATACTGTGCCGACAGTAAATACATACAGTACCGACAGTAAATACATACAGTGCCGACAGTAAATGCATACAGTGAGACAGTAAATACATACAGTGCCGACAGTAAATACATACAGCGCCGACAGTAAATACATACAGTGAGACAGTAAATACATACAGTGCCGACAGTAAATACATACAGTGCCGACAGTAAATACATACAGTGCCGACAGTAAATACATTCAGTGAGACAGTAAATACATACAGTGCCGACAGTAAATACATACAGTGAGACAGTAAATACATACAGTGAGACAGTAAATACATACAGTGCCGACAGTAAATACATACAGTGCCGACAGTAAATACATACAGTGAGACAGTAAATACATACAGTGCCGACAGTAAATACATACAGTGCCGACAGTAAATACATACAGTGAGACAGTAAATACATACAGTGCCGACATTAAATACATACAGTGCCGACAGTAAATACATACAGTGAGACAGTAAATACATACAGTGAGACAGTAAATACATACAGTGCCGACATTAAATACATACAGTGAGACAGTAAATACATACAGTGCCGACATTAAATACATACAGTGCCGACAGTAATGCATACAGTGAGACAGTAAATACATACAGTGAGACAGTAAATACATACAGTGAGACAGTAAATACATACAGTGCCGACAGTAAATACATACAGTGACTTTCTCAAGGCTCGCTAAGAACAGTTTTACGATTTACAAAACGACCCTAAAATGAATTTTATTTAAAAAAGAGCCCTAAATAAAACAGAAATATATAACGATGAGTAAAAAGATTAACCAGAAGAAATATCGTCATCTCAATAGAAAAAGAATAAGAATAAGAATAAGAATAAGAATAATTGATAATAATAACATAACGCTACATTAGCAACTAAGAGATGAACAGCTGTAGTATTTATGTACAATATGTCATACTGAATGAACAAATGATAAACAATAAATGAACAACATCACATGTTATAATCAAAACTTTTAATTTATATCGTTTGTCAAAATACCTGTGTTTGAAAATACTAGTACATGTATGTCTGGCCATAAGACAGCTACAGACAGCATGTTTTAACACCCAATTACTTATGCATACTGTCTGTTCACCCAGAACCCACAGCTGATAACACAATATACATCGTGGTCGCCGCAGCTGTTGGTGCTGGTGCTTGTGTTATCATCACCATACTTGTCTGCTGGTGCCGGTACAAGAGAAAGAAAGGAAAGAAATCAGATGAAAGTAAGTGTAAATTAAAGAGTTCTGCTTCTTGTAAGATATATATATATATATATATATATATATATATATATACATACATACATACATACATACATACATACATACATACATACATACATACATACATACATACATACATACATACATACATATATATATACATACATACATACATACATACATACATATATATATATATATATGTATTTATGTATATGTATATATATATATATATATGGGGGGGAGGGGGGGGTTAACGCCGCACTGAGCTCTATCACGGACCAGCGAATCTAGTGACTGATATTGTGAGCGACTATCCACGCCGTCGGGTACATTGATGATATACCGTCAACAAAGTCGCCTGGCGTGACGACCCGAGTCATTAAGTCCATCATGAGCAACATAGGTTGGAGGAGATCATTCGTGATCAACAATACGTGATTGAGCACTGAATGTGTTCGTGATGCTAGTTACGCCAAAAACGATTCCACCTCATCATGACCTATTGGTGGATATGTCGTCAGTACTTTTTTATCTTTCATTCTTGAGTGATTTCCTCTTGGAAGTATTGAGTGAGTGAGTGAGTGAGTGAGTGAGTGGAATGGTTTTACGCTGCTTTTAGCAATATTCCAGCTATATCACGGCAGGGGACACCAGAAATGGGCTCCACACATTGTGCCCATGTCGGGAATCGAACTCGGGTCTTCGGCGTGACGAGCGAACGCTTTAACCACTAGGCTACCCGACCGCCCCTTGGAAGTATTGAATCGGATTGATTCAAACCTAACATTATACTATGATTCAAATTTGTATCGTTGCATTGGGCCAATTGAATACATTAAAAGTGTGAAATGAAAGCAATCTGTATGTTACACTGGGCAAACTATAGCTGAGATGTGTGCTCTTAGACCTGTGCAGAAGCATATGTGTTTACGCGTGAGACCCAGGGCTGCCAGGAGGTAGCTGGTCCAGTTGTCGTTTATATAGTCATATGTTTTATTTTGACATTCTGGTAGTATGTTCTTGATGGTTAAATCTGTGATATATGACTAACTGCTTAACTGCGATAAGCTGTTTATAAACAAAACTATTATTAGCTCTTCTCGTTATTTGACTGAAAACCAATGTTTGATGTTTTAATAATATGTTTTCCATATCAATCCAGTGCAAGTTGACTAAATATTTTCCTGTTATTTTGTAGCAAATTTTGGTCATGTCACTATTTGATTGTATTCTGCCGATGGTTGACCTATTACTCTCTTGTCAGACGCAGATACAGCAGTTGATAACCCTGTGTACAACGCCTTGGGACCCATGGTCCAAGACGACAGCAACTACATGACGCTCAAGCCTCAGGCAGAATCTGTCGTCAACAAAGACATCAATGTGGACATCGAGACTCACACACAGCCTGGTAACACCCCAGACTATATGGAGCTGAAACCTCGCAGCGAGTCCGGTATTAGCGCAGACAGTGCTTACATGGATCTGACACCAGAAAGACAGCCAAGGATTTCTGCTGACAACGACTACATGAAGCTACAGCCGGGTACCGACACAGATAGTCACTACATGTCTTTCAAACCAAAAACGCATCCTTGAATAAAAACAGAAGGCAAATACATGGAACTGACACCTGACAGACAGCTCCGTACTTTAAACAATAAGCATTTGTCTTGAAATAAGATATATGTATGTTAATTGTTGAATGACACTAATAAAACCAAATATCTGACATGTATTAGTGGACGCATGACTTCAGACGTGAACCTGTGTTAGGCGAATCGAGCAAACACTTAAACCAGCCCAGTTAGAAACACTTACCATAGGTAGATGTGTAGTAGTTTTGCCTTTTGATACTTGTTTGGCAACGCATTAATAATTAGTGTTGGATGTTTCCCACTCAAAACAAAAATCATTCTAATATAACAATGAGTCAGGGGCACCAGTATTCTGTTTCCATCTATCCGAACAATTTACTCTTTGTCTCCAAGATGATGGCTCGGAAGAGAGACAGAAGCCTCAGTCGTTGTCTTCCCGAAGATATTAATGTTTATGGAATGTTATTTTTCGCACCATTGCACACAAGAACTGAATGGAAACTGCTGCAGACCCAGATGGTTATATAAGAACACTGTTGCATGCAGACAGTGCGATTCTAACGTCTTCAACTTATGTGCAGATTTGCTTACCCCAAAACGTGAAATAATCCCAGCGTGGTTTGAATCACCCATTCGCCCTTATAATAATCCGTGGTTTATCAAACCGATCCCGTGCCTGTTTCCGAACAATAACTGTTGTGTTGTTTAATGCGGTCTAAAATCAAACACACATATTACTTCTAGTGATAGCTCTATACGTTGCCTTGAATGTAACCAAATGCTCACCATGTCAGTATCGCACTAACACAGTTCTAACGTGACACCTCAGTGTAAGTCTTCCCAGGCGAGCTATACCAGAATACCTCTGTATGAAGAACATGTTCCCGTGGCAAGAGAGTTAACTGACTATAAAAGTCCAGTTTCCACCCTTGCCGAACTAGGCTAGGATTATGGAGTTACATTATGGCTGGACTAACCAGTCTATGCATAGTCCAATCAAAACCGCGCACCAAAATTGAAATCCGGTTCATAAACTGCCATGCAGAGTTCGGTCGATTGCAGGATTTGCAAAGCATGTGCATCGCCAACTCGTGGTCAACAGATATTTTCCAAATCTTTTCATGTTTTTAATCAAGGTGCTCACGTGATTTCATGTACTTCGCGAAGTAAGAACCGTTTTATCACAAAATAGATCTTGATAGTCGATCAGATCGTCTTGACTGGGCGCCACCTTTTTTGTTTGAAGCAAATGCATGTGATACGACAGGTGGAATCAGATTGGTCCATATGGGAGAGGCATAGAATGGACATAACTCGTAATAGCCACTGGTGGCGCTTCGATCGGGCCCAAGAATTCCAGCCTAGTTCGGCGAGGGTAGAAACTGGACTTGTCAAGTCAGTTAACGCTCTTGCCTTGGAAAGATGTATGAAGAATTAACTTTCTTAACTCTTTGAACTGACCGACTGCTTGTCGCCGTCATGGTCATTGCCCGCCAAAGCAGTGGTACTTAGTATTTTATTATTTGTTATCATCATGCATACTTTGATTAATGTTTCAGTAGGAACCTGTACTTCAACCCATGATTTCACTCCCAACCGGTGTTGTCAAACACGCACTGATCAATCTGCTTATTATTGTGAGGAGGATATAGAACAGAAATAACTGGCTTTATGTTTATTTGTCCTTGTTATAGAAAATCGTGATTGTAAAAAAAAGTCAAATGGATCAGGTAAAAGGTGTCATTTCCATCAACATATTTCAATCGGACAATAGTGTAAATAATTCAAAAATATGGCCAAACATATTGCTCATACCATGTCCTGAATAGTGTAGGCCGACTGCCCTGCATTATCAGGAGCTTAGAGATAGGATATAATACATGTATGCAATCTCTGTGTCTGATATTGTAAGAGCAAGTTATTGTGTACAGCTATATACTTCATACAGAACATGTATTTTGTGGTTCTAAAAATGTGTTTGAATGTCATAATTATGCTTATAGTTACAGTTCAACTATAACACATTATATGCATGTTTTATATATCGTGCATCTCACCGGATCAACTAGAACTAGACCACAGTATATACATGTACTATACATCGTGCATCTCACCGGATCAACTAGAACACATTATATACATGTACTATACATCGTGCATCTCGCCAGATCAACTAGAACACATTATATACATGTACTTTACATCGTGCATCTCACCGGATCAACTAGAACACATTATATACATGTACTAGACATCGTGCATCTCGCCGGATCAACTAGAACACATTATATACATGTACTAGACATCGGGAAGACATTTGATCCCGTACTCTGATTATGAACGCGTGATTAGATCTTACATCCGAGATCTAATGGCAAAGAACTGTAACACCCAAGTAGCTATCAATAACTTATAAAATTCAACAAACTATCGGTTACACCTACATGTACATGAGCTGTCAGTCCAGATTTGAAAAGGTCGTAATGTGGCGATGTCGTATTGGTCATAGCAGACACACTCATGAATATTTATTGAAAGGTGAGGATCCTCCATTTTGTATCCCTTGTGATGAGGGAATCACGGTCAAGCATGTCCTGCTTGATTGTGTTGATTTTGCCATCACAAGGGATAAATATTTCAAATCTCCATCTGTCAAGGTTCTTTTAAAATAAATTAATTCTCAATAAAATATTGTCTTTTTTTTTAAAGAAAAAGAACTATTAAATTAATTTTGAAACATATGTGAAATCGATGACAGGTTTTTATTTACACTCTTCAAAAAGAAAGGAAACGCACAGGTAGATTTTAAGTAAATTTATTGTACCTAATAAAGTCGTTATATGTAATTTAATATCATAGAAACAAATTTGAAATTTTGGAGTTCGATAGTCACATGTTGTCGGTGTACAAAGGCATTGAAAACTGTTCATTGTCATGTCACATAAGGCCACAAGGTTGCGCTGAACTCAGTATCTCGTGTGACCGACCCGGGCAGCAATCACGGCTCTGCATCTTCTCGGCATTGGCAGGAGAAGTGTACGAATCCTGTCCTGCGGAATTCTGCGCCATTCTGCTTGTAACGCGTTGGCCAGTTGTGGGAGGGTCTGCGGCGTGTTCTGACGTTGACGCACACGTCGATCGAGTTCATCCCAGAGCTGTTCGATTGGGTTGAGATCTGGAGATCTCGACGGCCAGGGGAAGTCGTTGATGTTGGCATTATGAAGGTAGTCTACCGTGACACGAGCTGTTGGCCCCCCAGACCATGACACCCAAATTGTCGAAATCATGTACACAATGTTGGGCTAAACGCTCATTTCGACGATGATAGTGATGGAGTGAGTTATATCACGGCGTGTCAGCTTAATGTGGGAGGAAAGCCCGAAGTGATGCAGGTTTCAGACGTTTATTTTTTAGTGAAACCAACGAGCACGGGTATGGTGCTACAAACCTAGAAACATAATGAAACATGATCTGGACGAACCGGGATTCAAACCCACAATCATAGGTTTATGGCGTGCCCAAGGGACGCAGCTCTGCACAGCGAATCGCGGCGCCTCAGACGACTTGGCCACCCGTGCCCCCTCGACGACGAAAAACACGGTTTCTTCCGTCTCGCCAGTGAAGACGAAATCGTGATTCATCGCTAAACCACACTCGTCTCCAGTTTCTCAAATTCCAAGACTTCCAATTATTGAAGGTTAGGTTTCTTGATGTTGAAGAGAGAGTCGCGGTGGTCGAAGTGAGGGTCTTTTGGTAAAGTAAGAGCGTTTAGTGTTGACGAGAGGGTGATGTGGTGAAGTGAGGTTGTAAATGATGAATTGAGAGCAGTGGTGTTAAAAGGAGAGTCGTAGTGTTAAAGGAAGGTATTGGTGGTGAAGTGAGGGTCTAAGTGACGAATTGAGGGTCTTGATGGTAAAGGTGAGGTGAGGTGAGGTGAGGTGAGGTGAGGTGAGGTGAAATTGGGACTTCGGACAGACGATCCACCACAAGAACAGGGGGGAGGTCCGTGATGGTATAGGGAGGGTGAGGTGGTGAAGGGAGGGGCAGGTGGTGAGGGAGGGTGGAGTTGTGAAGTGAGGGTAATGGTGGTAGCGGGAGAGTCGTAGATTTGAAGGGAGGTTGAGGTGGTGAACTGAGGGTCGTGGTGGTAGCGGGAGAGTCGTAGTGTTGAAGTGAGGTTGAGGTGGTGAAGTGAGGGTCTAAGTGATGAATTCAGGTTGAGGTGGTGAAGGGAGGGTCGTGGTGGTTACGGGAGAGTCGTAGTTTCTAAGGGAAGGTTAGGTGGTGAAGGGAGAGTGAGGTGGTGAAGTGAGGGTCGAGGTGTGATGGAGAGTCGAGGTGGGAAAGTTGGAATCGAGGGTGAAGAGTTTGAGGTGAAGTAAGGGTCGTTGTGGTGAGGTACACGTAAATGTGATGACGTGACAGTCGTGGTGAAGTGGGGTTCCATGTGGTAAATGGAGATCGATGTGATGAAGGGAGAGAGACTTGATGTTGTAAAGTGAGGGTCAAGGTCGTGATGGTAACGGGCGGCTCGTAGTGTTGAAGGAAGCGGGAGGTGGTGAAGTGATGGTCTAAGTTGTGAATTAGGGGTCGTGATGATACAGGGAGAGTCGTTGTGTTGAATTGAGGGTGAGGTGGTGAAGTGAGGGTCTAGGTGATGAATTCAGATTCGTGATGATAAAGAGAGAGTCGTTGTGTTGAAGTGAGGGTGAGGTGGTGAAGTGAGGGACTAAGTGATGAATTCAGGGTCGTGATGATAAAGAGAGAGTCGTTGTGTTGAAGTGAGGGCGAGGTGGTGAAGTGAGGGTCTAAGTGATGAATTCAGGGTCGTGATGATAAAGAGAGAGTCGTTGTGTTGAAGTGAGGGTGAGGTGGTGAAGTGAGGGTCTAAGTGATGAATTCAGGGTCGTGACGATACAGGGAGAGTCGTTGTGTTGAAGTGAGGGTGAGGTGGTGAAGTGAGGGTCTAAGTGATGAATTCAGGGTCATGATGTTACAGGGAGAGTCGTTGTGTTGAAGTGAGGGTCTAAGTGATGAATTGAGGTCTTGGTGGTAAAGGGAGAGTCGTAGTTTTGAACCAAAGGTGAGGGGGTGAAGTGAGGGTCCAAGTGATCAATTGAGGGTCGTGGTTGTTAA